TCCCCTGCTCGCCCCTGGGGGCACGTTGGCACAGGACAGGGGACAGGCGGCATGGGACAGCCCAAACTCAAAGCCCGTGTCTCTGGCCAGTATGAATGCGACTGGTTCTGTTCCTCTAGTGCAATGAGCTCAGGTCTACCCAGCAACGATCGTGGAGGTGTCATCTTTGCGAGTCTACTGCTGATGGCAGAAATCTCATTATTTTCCCGCTGTCTTTCATAAATAGAAGAACAACAAACTCCCAGGCAGTCCTTCTGGGGAGATGAAACCTTTGAAGTCATCAACAACGCAGGCAGTAGATACCCTTGCACTGAATGAACAAATTATTTTTCCCTGCTAGTGGACACAGCAGGTTGGGAAAAGAGAGACCCGATTCCCATGAGTTTTCAAGTTCATATATAACTTTCTGTGGACATTTGAATTAGAATCTTTGAGGAAAAAACCCTCACTTCATGGTGTCTTGAAAATTAAATCTCCTGTTTACAGAAAAGCCTCTTCATGTTTAATCCCAGGGGAACAAAAAGGAGCTGAGCTGCTGCAAAACAGACAGTGGTGGACATCCTCCAGGAGAGGGACTGGGACGTTGGGTCAGGCTGGATGTCCTTCAGGTCCAGCATCCCCTGGCTGCAGGAGCTGCGTGGGGCTGAGCAGGAGCCTGGACAGGCAGCGGGGACCCGGAGGTGACAGATTCAGGAACCGAGTGCCCGAGAGGCACAACCCCTCCATGCATGACACCCCTGAGCAGCTCATGGCACCGGTCTGCGGCGGACCCCACGTCGCTCTCCACCGTTTATGCATGCTGGAGATATTGCAGCTACACCCACGCATCAGAAATGTCACACCGAGATGGGCAGAGTCTAGACAACTGGTGGAAGAGCCACGTTTGTGGAATGATAAAGCAGATCCGCAAGTTTATTTCCCCCTTTGCTGTGGGAGAAAATGAAGCTGGAGGGGAGTGCAAAGCCCCTGCGGGTAAGAGGGATGGAGGAGAAGTTAAGGTGTCCGAGACTGACTCAACAAAAAATAATGAATCAAAATTCCCAGTGGTGTGGCCTGTGAGGAGCGAAGGCTCCTGCTCAGGCAGAGGGAGCAGAGGCAGCCCGGAGCCCCGGGGGATGTATTAACTTGATGGGCTTTCACGGCAGGGAGGGTGTTTCTTCTGCAGGCCAGGCAGGCAAGCTGGCCTTAAACAAGCATTTCTCCTCCGAAGGGCTCTGAAGGACTCACCTACCCGATGCCTGTTGAACTTGAGATGGCTTTGGCTGTCTGCCCTGCACAGATCCCTTTGGAGATCCCACCGCAGGAGCCCCGGGGGATGTATTAACTTGATGGGCTTTCACGGCAGGGAGGGTGTTTCTTCTGCAGGCCAGGCAGGCAAGCTGGCCTTAAACAAGCATTTCTCCTCCGAAGGGCTCTGAAGGACTCACCTACCCGATGCCTGTTGAACTTGAGATGGCTTTGGCTGTCTGCCCTGCACAGATCCCTTTGGAGATCCCACCGCAGGCAACGCACACCCCCCGGTCCCTTCTCCGCTGCGCTTCCCCGCTGTTTCCACTGGTGGCTCAGGTGGAAGGGGGAGATGGAGGTGGTGAGCTTTGGGGTGCAGGGAAAGCAAGCCAGTTCATCCCTGCACAGACTGCAGCAGCAACATGACTTCCAGGTGGGAGATGTTATACCGACACGGGCAGAAGGCAGGACAGGAGAAAACTAACTGCCAGCAACACAGGACGAGCTGGAAAGAGGATGAAGACAAGGGCGTTTCTTTGGGCACTACCTCCTCTCCAGATTGCTTTGCTCCTTCTACTACAAGGAGTAGAGCACAAAGTCTAGAGCCAGAATCAAATTTCCCCAAAAGAAGGATGAGTTTCATTGTTTTTTTTTTTTAGCTCTGTTTCTGCAGCCATAGGATTGGGGGTTAGGGCCAGGCTCGCTGTATGTTCACTGCTCTGGGGTGAGGGAGCTGGCTCCCACGGACAGGACCTCTGCCCAAATTCACACATCCCAGCAGCAAAGGGACCCAGCTCCCCCATCCCACTGCCTGCACTGGGATCAGGGCACAACCCACAGAGGTGGACCAGGGGCTGCCCTTTTTCCTGTCCTGTCGTGCTTTCACCTGCAGGTCATGAAGTCCCCAGGCAGCGACACAAACCTGGCCTTGCACTTGGCTCCAAACCCGTCTCCAACAGCCCTGGCAGCCCAGCGAGCTCGTCTCTGGCCACACTGTGGCAGCACCCATTCGCACGGTTCGCCACACCACATGCTCTGCTGGGACCAGCAAAACTGAGACCTGCATCTCAAATTCTCCCAGTGCCTAAAGGCCTTTTGCTCCTGGATTTTGGGCTAGAGCTGCTTCAAGCATTCAGGGTGTCAAAGTCGCAGGAGATGGTCAGACACAGCTTGGCCAGCCAAGCAGCAGGAAAGGGCAGGAGGTTCTGGCTGAGGGTGGGGATAACTGCACAGCCTGGGGCCAGGGGAGCCAGCACGGCTTGTACCATGGGCTGGGAGAGCAGCAAACCTCCTGCTGCTGTTTTTGTTCTGACTTTGGCTTAGGACAGCTAATCTTGGCCTTCTGAAAGCAAAGCTCACCATGGCAGCTCCTGGCTAAACCCTCAGTCGTTGCTGGTGTAGGTGCTTTGCTCCATACCAGCATCAGCGCACAGTGCAGCAGAGCAGGGGCAGGAGGGAAGGATCAGCATCTACCAGCTCAAAATGTCAACCCCATGTCCCTGCCTCCAGCAAGACCTGCAACCGTGCCTGGCTGTCCTCGTCCTGGCAGCGAGGGAGGAGAAACCTCCTTCAAGGTGAGGAAGGGAGGAGAAGGAGGGAGGACACCCGAGGTCACGCATGCTTTACCTTGCAGACAGCTTTTCTCTGGTAAAGGGACCGATACCTTTCTGTGATGGTGTTAACAGATTGCTTTTGGGGCCAGACTTTTGCAGCAGGGCTGAGGTGTGAGCGTGTCAGAGCCCAGAATCACGCAGCATCTTTGCAGCTGATCTCACCTCCCTTCTCACATGAGGTGTCCCGTCAGAGACAGCTCGTGCTGCTGGCAGGTGGAGCAGAGAGTGCAGAAGGCACTGGCTTGCCACCAAGATGCCACGTGTATTTCTCTTGGCAGGCAGGTCACTCCGTGCTGGCACTTTATGCTCCCAAAGGTGTGGAAGTGGCTGGAGTTTGCTGTCCTAGAACTGCTCATGAGGCTGCACTAAGGTGGAGCTCTCTGGGCTTTCAAAAGTCCTCGGTCAGCACATCTTCACCAAGGACCAGGAGCCTCTGTAACCCTCCAAGTGCTGCCTTCCGAAAAGGCTTTGTTACCAGGAGGTGCTTCTTGCAGCCGGGCCTGGAGCTGCTTCTCTCCCATCCTCATGGCTTTCCAGTCTCACCTGGGAGAGGGTTCACACGTTCACAGCATGCAAAGCTCTGGGATGCAGCCGGTGCCTCAATCTCTCCCACCAGCATCAGGGCTGCAGACCACGTGCCTCCTGTAAAGCCTTCTGCAGGACAGCCTGGCCAAGCAGCGAGTTTTGCCCCTAACACGCACATCAGCCTGTGTGTTCAGTGCTTGGCCCCTTTGTGGGAGGACTTTCACGCCAGCAAAAGTGGGGATTGAGCAAAAGGAGAGGCTCATGGTGAACAGAGAGCAGAGAAGGAGACAAACATAGTGCAGAGTCGATTTAGGAGAAGTCATGACTCGTGAATCAGAGACAGCCTACCCTCCGGATCCAAACAGACACGTTTGTACCCATGCTGCTTAGGGGTGAACAAAGTTCATAGGCACGAGGGCATTGCTCATCATCTGCCCCCAGCCTTGGGCATGTGCCCAGGTCTGTACAAGTCCAAAGGACAGCCATGGAAATGCAAGGGTTCAGCCAAGCCCCAAGCTGGGGAAAGCAACAGGACCTAGCCATTGCCCAGCCTGTGCCATGTCTGCTCCCCCCCAAAACAACAAAACCACAGATGATCACGAAGGTGGTGATTTCATGCAGCTGCAAAATGCCCTCATGAGGAGAAATATGAAGTTCTGTTAAGAGCCACTGCAGGTTATAAAGCCATCGTACTTCAGTGGGGAAATCCAGGGAAGGGAAAAGGGGGTGAAAAGAAATGGCCACAGGACAAGAGCAAGAGAAAGAGGAAGAAAAGGAAATAAAAATCATCATCATCATCATCATGACACAACAACAGGACGAGAGAAAGAGCGCTTTTCATGGGCAGTTCCCCGTGGAAAAGGAGCCACCGTGTCCGTGAAATACAAAACCCAGTGCCCTCCAGCTGGAGGGGGCAGCAGGTGCTGGGACTGGTTTGGCATCCCCTTGGGGCGAAGGGTCCAGTTAGGAGCAGAAAACCCTGCAAGGCAAAGGGGAGAAAGGCTGGCCTTAGCAGGAGCAGTGAGGAGCATCAGGGACAACGGACTTCCCAAGGGACCATGTCATAGATGGGAATTTCCAGAGCCCTTTGCAGCTGGGTGAGGTGGGCAGGTAGGTAACCCTTGTCCCTACCTAGAAATGGGAAACTGTATGTACTGCAGACCCCAGAGTATGTGCTGCGTTGGAGAAAAATTCCTACCAAACCTCAGGGAAGTTGGGAAACCTGCTTTGGGTCAGCAGGGAAGGGATTGCAGGACAAGGAGCAGGATCCACGCAGCCGTCCATCCCTTATGCTGAATAATCCTTCTGCTCAGCCAGGCCAAATCCCACCCAGCCAGAGCTGAGCAAAGGGCAGGGCGTTGTGGAGCAGAAGCAAACATTGCAAATGTCAAGGTTTTTGCCTTCTTTTGCTTGTTTTTATAACAATAGAAAGAAAAGTCTCCAGATCTTTCCCAACCAGACTATTTCAGGGAGACTCCAGGCAGCAGCCTCTGCTTCCAGTGCAAAAATCAAATGCCTTTTCTCAGCCTCTGCTCCACGAGGGACCACACGGGTGCGAAAGTCAAAGCTCCCTTCCCCGTCCCGCAGCCCACGCGCTTGGGAGAGCGTTGCGGGGGTTAAAATAAACGTGTCAACTCACTCATCCGTGTCTTTTTTGCTCTCCTCGATGAATGCAATGGACTCAGATCTAAGGCGGTTAGTCACTTCGTACGTACGCAGGGTGACTCCAAAAATATCCTCGTGGTACCGGCTGTCATCCTGAAACGGAAGATGGGAGAGGGGCAGTGGGGTTAAAAAAGAAAAAGAAGAGTATTTATGAGCGGTTGGTCTTGCTGCGGCACCAGAAAGCTCTCGTGCTGGGAGTAGGGACCAAACACACAGCGAGTGTTGCGGGGGCTGTCACAGGAGCTGGTGGGACAGGCAGGGCAGAGGGGCAGGAACCAGCAGGGAGGTGAAATGATCTTCCCAAGGGCACAGCGTGGGGCAGTGGTGGAGCTGCTCGGTGCATTAGACCTCCTCGACTGCTGCCAACCCAGGGGCTGCCTGGCCATCCGGGGACAAGTAGCTCTAGACCAGCCCACATCAGAGAGCTTTTGCCAGCAAACCAGCTGTAAACGTGGCTCTGGGCTCCCTCGAATCCTGGGTGGAGCGTGGGGTCCTACTTCAGAAGGGGTAATGCCATAGGAATCAGGCTGAGTTGTCCTCCTGGGCAGAAGCAGAGCTGTTGGAGCATTCGTTATTAGGCCTGTGTCCCAAACTCAGCTCACTTCTGCTTCAGTTGCCACATCCACAGCAATGTGTTTGCCCAGGGGCAGCAGCCAGCCAGCCCCAGGGACAGAGGAGGTTTTGGGAAGGGGATCCACAAACTGCCCTTGTAGCTTGGTGCAATGACGGAGGGACAGCAGGTACTTAACCAGGCGAACAAGCCCTGCCTGGGCTCCCAAGGGTGCCCACAAGAGCTTGTACCAGTGCTCAGCACTGCACCAGCCTCATAACAGGAGCCCAGTGTGGGCTCAGGGGGCTGCAGCCTGGAGCAGAGCTCTTGCAAAGCAAGGTGACTTCCACTGTGCACCCAAAGCTTTGGAAGATCACCCTGCCGACCTTGCCCGGGTGCAGGCAGCATGGGTGGAAGCCGCAATCCCCCTCCCAGCTCCTGTCTCCTTGGTGCTGCCTGTTCTGCAGGAGGAGGCACCAGGTGCAGCGCCCGTGGCAGGAGCTCGCCCGGTGTCTCGTGGTGTAGACGCTACTCACCCGCAGCTTGCTGATGAAGGCACCTGCCTCCTCCACCGACAGCTGGCCCTGCTGCCGCACGATGCGCTGGACGGTCTTGAGGACGTCCCCGGCCATGGTGACATCCCCGCAGACGTAGATGTGGCCTCCCTGCTCCTTCAGTGCTTTGAACACAGTTTGGGCCAGCTGCTCCTGTAACACGTCCTGCACGTATTTCTGCCGGAGGAGGAGGAGGAGGAGGTGGGAGCTGAGATTAACTGCAGCTCCTCAGCCCTCTCCACCTGCGCGCTCCGGCCAGCTTCGTGTGCATCAGCTGCCGTCGAGGCAGGAGCACAACATCACCCCCTCTTTGGGGAAGCACGGTAGAAAAGAGATGGGGAAAGCGGCAAAGCAGCATTTTGCTCTTGCATTTTCACACCTTCACCACATATCTCATTGCCAGCCCTGCTCGGGTGGCCGTGGGAATTTGGATCAGATGTTCGCACTGGCTTTGGGCCACCCCACCGGGAGACATCCCTCCTGTCCACCTGCTTGGGAGGATGTGCCTTTCCCCTCCTTGTCTGCTCCTGCCTGGTGAGCGCAGCTGCAGCCCTGGTGTGGGCATGGCACAGGTTCAGGCTGGCACAGGGATGGGGATGTGCACTGGGAAGGGCACGATCCTGCATGCTTAAGCAACCAGAGCTCCCAGGGCATGAGCCACCATGGCTGTGCCAAGGAACCAGCACCTCCACGCCATGCCAGCTGGCCACGGCTGCCCAGGGCTGTGCACTGGGAGCGGAGTGATGCCCACCGCACACCTTTGGTTTGTCCGGTTCCCGGGAGTAGGCTGTGTACAGCTCTCTGAAAACACCATGGGTTTTGGCAAAGAGCGTCTCCTCTTTGTAAATGTGGTCGATCCTGGACTGTCGGCAGCCAAAAACCAGGACCATAGGACAAGGCTTCAGACCTGGGGGGGAGACAGGGGAAGTAAGTCAGCCCAGAGACCGCTCATACCTGCCTTCTGCAAGCCACCTCCCTCCAGATCTGCCAGCAGCCCCAGTGCCCAGTGCGAGGCTGCCAGGAGCCAAACGGGCAGGGAGGAAAAACCAGCCCTGCCTGGGGCAGAGCGTGGCCTGGGGTCACAGAGCAGGGCAGTCTGTGTCACGTTTTGGGGAGAAATCAAACTTTTTTTCCCCCCTAAATGGTCTACACGATCAGTGAGAAATGTGTATTTTACGTAAAACCGACGCCAGCGCTGTAGTTCTGCCATAAAAACTTGGGAAGTTTTGCAGGAGGATTTTCATGGAGTTTGTTCAGGGAGTTTGGGCTGAGCTCCAAGCCTGCACTTGGGACAGCCATTGCTTTGGGGAACCCTTTGACTTCCGGGGCAGCCCGGGCAGGAGGCTGGACCCCCCTCCCACCCCACCAGCCCAGGGTTCCTGAGCGCTGCTTGAGATGGGAAACGGGAGGAACAAGCGTCGTCCCACCTTTGTGCTGGATTTCAAAGAGTCGCTGCTGCCAGAAGCTCCGGAAAGGGGCGATGCCGGTGCCGGGGCCGATGAGGATGCAGGGCACCTGGGGATCCTGGGGCAGGTGGAACCCGGGCGCACTGCGCACATCGAAGATGCTGGTTAAACCCGAGCGGGATGCTCCCTCCCTCGCCTCTGCCCACACCAAGCTGAGACACCACCCAAAGAGGGAAAAAATCAAGGTGAAATCCCAGCAAGCGATAATTTAGCGCCCGAGAGGGACCCATTCACTCGCAAATCCAGCCCTGTTTTCTCCGCACCCTCAGTGCTTTGGGAAGAAGAATTGAGGGCAAAGAGCTCATCCTGCAAGGGGGAATCACCCCATCTTCTTCACCTCTTGCCCTGTATGGACCACTTACCCTCTTACAAAACAGGGCACTACTTCATCGGTCTGTATCCGATTGAGCCAAGAGGAGCAGACTCCGTGGTGGATCGGTCCTTCTCCATCTAGGAGGAGAGAAGAGGGGGTCAGTACTTGACACACCAGCCAACTACTCCAGTTGCTCTCCTTTTGGAAACCCTTCCCACTACTTTCCACATGAACACCTCACTGAAAACTTTAGTATCTCTGCATCCATCTCCCATGAACTTGATAGAAGTTTGGTGCTTGGATCCCTCTGTGGAGCTACCCAGCTTCACCCAGGACACAGCCCTGGCATAACTGGACCTCTGCAATACTTGGGAAGCACCCAACTTCTCTTCGGTCCTTTTTGGCAGAAGCAGCATCATGCTGTAGCGCTTCCAGACACAAGCCCTCCATGGCAACCCCAGAAGACTGGCCAGTGTCTTCCCCTGTGTCCTGCCTGCTGCAGGGGAGACACGGCTGTGTCCATCTACACCATGACCCAGGCTGCTTGGATGCATCCGTGCTTGCCCAGGTACAGAAATCTGGCTAGCTGTGGCAGCGTGGGCTTTAGTGTGGGCAAAGAAATGATCTCACGTGGAGCTTGGATCTACTGTGGCTGGTCTGTTGCTGGTACCTGACTCAGACCTGGCATCTCTGCCCTTTGATGGATGGCCGTTCTCCATACCATGGGACAGCAGTGTCATGGGTTGAAGGAACCTAGTCACTGCAGCAGGTAGAAAGGCTTTAAAATAACATCCCTCTGCCAAAGACCTTGTGGTGTTTACCACGTGTGAATGCTTTTCCCTCGCTCCCTACACCAGGCCTGTCTGCACTGACCCCTGCATGAGCGTGGTACCTCTTGTGCGATAGGAGACCACTGCCACGGTGAGGTGGACCTCGTCTGGGTACATGTCCGGGGAGGAGCTGATGGAGTAGTAGCGTGGTTGGAGGAGGGGGAGCTGTGTGAGCAGCAGCGTGGAGGGCATCTGCACTGAGGGGAACTCCTCCAGCACCTCCACGATGGTGGGGTTCTTGGACCACTTCCATTCTTCATACTCCTGCAAGCCCTACAGCCAGGAAAAGAGGGAGGAAGGGAGGAGAGAGCTGCAGCATCGACCTCTTCCAAGCCAGGTGCCTCTACCGATATCCCACCAGGCCTATGGCAAAGCTGGGGTGGGTGGCAGGCAGGAGGAGCCCCGCTGTCACGGGTAGAGACTCAGCCTAACCGCAGTGTGGGGTGACAGTGCCCTGGAGTTGTGGTTGGCCCCAAGACCTTGAGGAACTTGGGGCTTGGGGTCTGAGGCTTTACCTTGCTAAGGACCTGCAGACGTTTCTTCTCCTTGTCACTGGTGGCCAACAAAGCAAACTGTTGCAGCAGCAGGGGTGTGGGAGGGGTGGTGATGTCCAAGTAGTACTTAAAAGCCTGGAAGATGGTGCATGGTGGGACACGGTTCTCGTCTGTCCAGTTACTGATGACACCTGCCAGGAGGGAATTCAGCATAACCATGGGATCAGCCGAGCATAAGAGCCAAGGCGGACAAATCCTTGCTTTGATTCCCCCTGCTCAGCTCTGAGACAGTGAATGATGAAGAGCTGGAAAGAAGCGCCAATGAGATTCCTCATGCGACAACTGAGATGCTGTACAACGCGCACAAATGCAGAGTCTGATACTCCACAACCTTCAGCCCTGGTCACCGAGTTAATGCTGTTTTCCATCTCCTGTTACACTGTGCGTGGCAGTTGGGTATCAGTTATCCCTGAAATACAGTGTTGAGTTGGTCCATCAAGATCCCTCAACTTTCCTTTCCAGTCCTAGACATTGCTCTTTCCATGAGAATATTAACACCTTTGATTTTTCTGAAGAACAAGGAAACATCTCCCCAGGGCCTTGCTCACCTTTCAAACCCTTGCTCTACACCCTAAATGATGAGCAATGGCTCTGGGCAGAGGAAGGTTGAAGAAGGTGCTCCCATCACTCCAAGCAAATGCACCAATGAGATGGGAAATTATTTCTCCTGGGAGTCACCTACCTGTCCGAGGAGCTACAAGAACCACTACAAGGGGTGGGTGAGGAGGAGAGAGCTACCTCTACTTAGAGGTGGCCCTGGTTACCTAGAGCTGTGTTCCTCTCTTCCAGGAGCTCCACCTTCACCAGCTGGTTGGCTGGAGGAGCATCTTCAAGCCTGTCTATCAGGGCATTGACCAAGTCTTCATGGTTCCCTGGAAACACGCCCAAGTGGTCCCCGGGCAGATACTGCAGTTCCTGGTGTCCGTCGGTGTGGAGGCGCAGGAAAATTGTCAAGCGGCTACAGGGAAAGGAGAAAAAGCAGGATGTGTTTTGGGGGAGTCCTTCGGGGAGTCGCTGAGCTCTGACCTCAAGAGCCACTGGGTGTGCTGGGCAGTGGTGGCACGTCCAAGCCCTGGTGCCCCGCTGAGCACGTCACCAAAGCTGCAGCAGGGAGCTAGGAAGGACACTGCCGTGTCCACCTCCCCTGGCTGCCAGCTCACCCTCAGGGGCTATTTAAAAGGGAAAAACCAGTTTAACCTCTCGCTTCAGGAATTCTGTCCTTTCTTCGCATGCACCCTGCCACTCCACAAGCCACCCATCTTCTCATCCTTACGGGCAGCACGTTAATTTACACAGCAGCAGAGATTCCACTGTATAAAAGGACGCCCTGCGCTGGGTTTGCGTGGCTTGGTGAGGATTTGCACAAGATGGTACCCATGGGACGCTCGGGGGTCACGGGACGCTTGGGTGGACACTTGGGTGCACCATGAGTGCAGTCAGCTCCCGCGGATCCCGGGGCAGCTGCATCTCCTACCTGGACTTTGGGCTCTGCAGGTTCTGGCGTGTGATGAGCCGGGCTGCGTAGACGCGTTTTTTGTGGATGCTGTAGAGTCCTGCAGAGGAGAAGAGTCAGTGGAGCAACGCCACGGAGCACAGCCAAGGCAGACAGGACTTCTGCAGGGCTGTCGGCCATGGCTGCGGGTTCAGCCCTTCGGACCGGAGCTGGCTGACACCCACGCACCGTGGGCTCCACCGGCCTCCTGTCTCCATCTCCTGCAAAGCTTCAGCCAGCCTGGGGGATCAGGAAGCCCAAGGGGGGAACCAAACCCGTGTCCCTTTTGTTAATGACTGAGGAAGACTCCGAAACCGCTCGCACGAGGCACGGGGACGTGCCCTCACGCGCCGGCATGTGCCTCTCGCTGCCGGTACCACCTGGCTGGTAGCAAAGTGCCTGAATTTGGGAAGAGCTAAGCCAGTGCGGCAGATCATCAGCTGCAGGACCCGTGCTGAGGGGCCAGGTGTCGGTGGGCTGGACCTGCCGTCGCACTGCAACGCTCAGCGGAGCGGCACTGGGACGAAGCCAGCTTGGAAAGCTCCCAGGTTTCCAGCTCTTTGCTTCGTCAAATGGGGTCAGGAGGAGGGAGATCAGATCATATCCCAACAGCTCTGTGACAGACACGGACAGCGACCAGCTAGAGGGCCTGAGACCATCACAAACTGCTCCTTGGGCATGTGATGGAGGGGAAACACAAGACTGAAATGCTGGAAATTTAACACTGAATATTAACACAGGAGATTCAGCTCCTTTGTCCTCGCTTGAGCCTGCTGTGTCTTCTCCTCCACCTGCCCCACTCCTAGAGCCCTCCAGGTTGACCCTGTCTTCATACCTTGTGTGAGTTCTGGGGCTTCAGCCACATAGGTCAGGCGAAACTTGCTCCTCTTCCAGCTCCGGTCATTGCTGATGAGGGAGTTGTTTGCCTTCTCAATGTTGACGTCATCTCCGACGCAGAACACGTCGCACGCTGCCTGCAGCACACACCAGGCTCTCAGGCATCTCACCGCTGTCCCTGGGCTTTCCGTCCAAGCCCTGCAACCCCCCTGTTCCCACCCCACCTCAGCCAACACGAGGAGGAGGTGGCCTCAATGGTGTAGGGCTCTACTGGTGGCCATAGGCGTGTCTGGTGGTGCCCTCCTCCCCCAGGCATCTGGCGTAACACAGGAATTCAATATAGTGCTCACCCTCTGGTCAGCACAAACCAGAGTGTCAGCTCCACCGAAACATGGAGAACCTCTTTATTGTGGGCTAGGGTGATGGATGGGTGTCCCAGTGTAGGAATGGAGAGGCTGGGTTTTGGTCCAGCTCTAACCAGCAGCTTTGCTTTCTCCCTGCGTCCTTCTCCCCTCTGCTCCTCCCTGGAGGACACGGGAAGCGGGTTACCTTGAAGACCTTCTTGGCCCAGGTCCTGAAGGACTCCTCCTGGCCACAGAGCTCATCCCCTTCTCCCATGCGGAGGATCCTCTCTCCACCCAGCTCCTCCAGGAGGGTGTCCACTGCCCGGGCAAAGGCGCAGAAGTGGGGGTAAGCCCGTGACCCCAGCCCAAACACGGAGAACCTGCAGAGAGATGGCACAGCTGTGGCTACCAACATCGACATCTCCCCCTCCTGTGCCACCACGGCCAACACCAGCATGAGGGAAGCGAAATTGCTGCCTCCCACCCCATCCCATTTACCTGACGTTAGCCAGCGGCCCCGTGCTTTCGAAGTTGTCCCTGGAGTCAGGGCCATCGCTTGAGGATTTCCGTGCATCCGAGTAAGAGGAGACGCTGTTGAAACGGACCTTGTAGCTCCTGCGAACAGCAACAGCATCAAGTGTTAACAGTGGTGGCCAACGTGCCTGTGGTTCCCACTGGGAAGTAACTGGAGGACCCCAGGCTATGGAGGAGACCAAACTGGAGCAGGCTCAAGCTCAGGGCTCCATATTTCAGGGTGCTGTGATCAGTGGCTGGAGCAGAGAAACGTCCTCCCTCCTGGGGGTAAGCCCATGTGTTGCATCCCACCCTGGTCTGCTCCATGGGGTCCTCCAGTCACCTTCCGGTGGGCTGACCCAGGTGTTGGCCACCACATTGTCCCCAGTGGTGCAGAGCTGACAGGAGCTTTGGTTCTACCTGCCCTTCCCTGACTGCACACAAGGTCGGGCATGTGTCTGAACAGATATTCTGAAGGTTTTTTCATTCATAGGAAGAAAAATAAAAAAGGGAGTGAGAGAGAAGAGGGGATGAGGAGGGTGAAGGGGAGCAGAGAAAAGAAATCTGACACCAGCAGAAGTATTTCTGAATTGAACCATCTTCAGAAATTGCTCTACACAAGGGTTTCTAAATATACTGGCAGAGCAACGCAGCAGTGGTGTGCGGATGAGTCACAGCAGACCTCCTGCACCCGCACGGCACGGCAGGCAGAGGAGACAACCCCTGGGCAAAATAGCTGCCAGGGTCGCAGAGCAGAGCCCACCTCTGCTCCAGAGCCTCCTCCTCTCTGCCCAGACCTCTCATGCTCTCCTGCTTCACTCCCTCTGGATGGAGCCACTTCTTTCTCCCCTGTCCCTGGGCCACATCCTCACCTGGGGTTACGTGGCCAAGGCAGGGCAGTACAGCCCACCAGTTTAGATGGGCATGAAGCCCAAATTCCCCTCCAGGTGCTGGGTCTAAGGTGGGGACACCAGCAAGTTTTGCTGCAGGGAATAGGTCCTTGTGGCAGGGGCCGGCTGGTGAAAGGTGGGCTGCGTTGGACCGCGGGTCCTTAGACATGGAAGGGTTGTGAATGTCTCGGAAAACCCTTGCTGTAGGTCACAAGGAACCAAATATACGATCGTAGCAAAACCTCTTGACTGCGGAGAGAGGCCACAGATGCCCACCCTGTGGGGTCTCAGCCACCCTCAGCATCCGCTGATGGACATGGAGCTGGGATCCCGTGGGGCGCATGGGCAGGAGCTGCCCTCTCCAGACCTTTCCTACAGACGCCAGGCTAGCTCTGCTCCCCTTCCCTCAACAGTCTCCTCCAGGACGCCTTTTTTCATTGCAAAAGCTTTTTTTCATGCTTCACGTCAGCATCTCTTTCTACCATCCAGAGCGATGACCTCTTGTCCTGTCCCGGGGGAGGACACGGGGAGTAATTTATTCCCTGCGCCTCTGCAGTCACCTTTTCCGTAGGTGAAGTCTGCTACCGCGCTGCATTTCTGTCTCCTCTTCTTCAGATGAAATAGCTCTCACCCTTTTGATCTGTCCCTCGCAGGTCGCCGTTTCCAGCTCTCTGACCACTTTTGCTGCCAGGTAACCAAGCCACCGGCTGTCCTGGCGCTTAGAAACTCCTGCCAGTCCCTTAAATTACATTTAGAGGGGACTGGGACAGCCAGCACTGAGCTCAGGAGCTTTTGACCTCCTCAAATCTGCCTGGCTTGCCATGGGCAACACCTCAGCCCGATGGTGCACCAACCCAGCCCCAAAGAGTGATGGAACCACGCGCAGCCTGGTCCTTCTCCACCCAGACACCTCCAGGGCAGCCTGCACGTCCCGTTTTGTCAGCTGGCCCCGTGAAGGCATGAGGTCATTAGAAACCTAACGGGTTTTTGACTCTCCAGCCTGGTGGGGAGCCCTCAGATGACTTGGCCGCGCAGCAAGGTGATCACTGCGAGGCTGCTACATCGCCATATTTTGTACTTAATAACTAAAATATGAGGAGGTCCCAAATTTTTAACACTTTTCTGCTGCTCTCTCTTCCCAGCCTCGGGAACGTGCACTGAGATGCTTGAGGCTCATCTCCCAGCGATGGGCGACTTTCTAAAAGCCCAGCCCCTGTCTCCAAGGTCTCAGTTCCAGACTCACCGTTACAAACTTCACAGCCAGAATTTCTAACAGCTCTTATTTTCCCTAGAAATGTTTCCACGTGATGCAAGATGTTAAATTTGCTTCTCAAGCCCTCGCCCACCTACATCCACATAGTTGGGAGCTCCCTTCTGCTTCCAAGTCTTACTATTTTGATGTCTCCTGGACAGCCCCAGCTCTCAGATTCAGTGATTTGGGGGAGAATTCCTGCTTTTATTTGTTTGGGTTTTTTTGTAGATGCCTGCCTCTCACAGCTGAAGAGACAAACTTTAAAACACCAGCCCAGGGAATTACGAGCTGGAGTCCACAGGCATGCCTGACTCGGTGCTGTCGTCCTCCCTGGGACCTCTGCCTGCTCCATCCCCGGTCCTCCAGGCAGGTTCCATCCCTCGGACCTCTGCAAACTTGAAACCTGCGTGGGGATTTCACGTTCCCTTCCGAGAGGAGGAAAGCAGAGGAGCTTCTGTGGAGCTGCCTGCTAGCTGGGCTTGTGAGTGGGAAGGGAGGGTTTTGGGGTGCTCTTACTTCCTCTCCTCCAGGTTGGAGTTGGGATTCTTCATCTCCATCAATGCACAGCCAAATTTCTACAGAGAAGAAATAAAATAATAAAAAAAAAGACCATCAGTTTTGCCAGTGTCTGCAGGAAACAGAGCAGAGACCAAAACCTGGGCTGCAGCTCTGCTTGCTGCTCGTTGTCCCCAGCACTTGTTTTGGGCCATTCCAGCTCAAGCTGAGCAAAAAGAGGATGCTCATCCCCGCTCCCCACCACCTGTCCCCTGCCTGCATCCCTGCCATCGTCACTCACCCCGAGCCCAGTCCTACCTCTCCATTCTCAGGTGGGTCTCCATTGCCAAAGGTGCTTGTGACCACCAGGACCATGGTTTCATGCTCTAGGTGCACGATGTCATACTCATCCATGGACATCACCTGGGAGCGACAGAGGTGTTAGCAGGAGGCTTTTGGTGGGGGGAAATACCACCAGACAGTCTCCTGGGATGGACCCCAGCCCACCCAGGGATGGGAGCAGCGTATCCTTGCTGACTCCATGCCAGTGCACTAGCAGGGATCTCCGCAAGGGGAGGATGAGAACAAGAGCCTCAAGGGACATGGACAAACCATGGGGCTACCACCTGAGAAGCAGCAGACATAGGTATGTTACAATGCTTGCAGGAGCATTAGCTGGGAAAATTCCTGTGCAAGCTTCAATCCAGACCCCCAAGGTCATATCCTGGGAGCTGCTGGAGACCTTTGGCAGCTGGGAAGCTCCACCTGTGTTGAGCCATGTGTTTTCCAACAGCCATCTGTTCCCTTGGGGCACCCAGAGGTGTGCAGGGGCTGGGAGCGGGTGCGATACCTTGGCATCGAAAGCGTGCTTGAAGATTTCACACAGGGTTTTTGCATAGACCTGCGACTTCCCTGTTTCCGTGGCATATAGGATGGTCGCTTTGACCCTCTTGGCCATGGCCTGGCCCATCAGCTTGGCTGAGAACTTCACAGCTCTAGGAAACAAGAATAAATCCTGGTAAGAGAGCTCGTTTCCTTGTCAGTGCCTCCAGCCCAGACTATTCACACCATTTTATTTATTATTAAATGACCAGCCTGCCTTAAAAACTGCAGGATCTTTTTCTTTTTTTTTTTTTGTCTTTATATGCCAAACAGGGAAGCTGTGGAAGATTCTGCCTGTCTCGACTTGTCAGAGATGAGGACTAGATGGGAGGGGCTGGAAGACAGAGCTTTTAGGGAGGAAAACACTAAACCAAGCGTGGAGGTGCCCTGTCTGCAGGAACAGAGAAGCAGATGAAGAATGAGGGACAGTGGTCGCTGAAAGCAGTGACCAGATGACCTCCAAGGAAAAGCTGGAAACCAACCAGAGCCCCAGGCACAGGAGGAACAGTGACTTCTCCATCTCTTCACATCTCTAAATCCTCTCTAGCTGCCTTTCTGCAGGAGGTGTCCTAGGCGAGCAGAAGCGCCCAGGCTCCACACATCACGCCCAAAGCCCCCGAGATGCTGAGAAGGTGAGGCAAGGCTGGCTGTAGTGCCTTGGATTTGCACTCCAGTGACGTGATGAACTTCACTCAGAGGAGCAGGTTGCACATTTATTTGAGGTTCACAGGGCTGTGTCTAGCCACCTGCCTCCTGGAGCTGCAGTCGTGACTGGATGCATTTGCTCCAGTTTTGCCCATGGGCTCAGCTCTGACAGCAGGGCAGAGGGGCCCAGAGAGGTCATGGGTATCTCTAATCCTGGCCAAGGTGATGCAGCACTACAAAGACCTGCTCCGGAACGGCAGGTCGGGATTTAGCCCGATGTGTTGCAATAGGGGAGGGGCGGTTTTCGGTGGGCCGAGAGGGCACAAAGCATCTCTGTGGCTTTTGCAAGAATAAGGGCTGCTTGATTCACGTGGACAGGGTGATCAGACCCTGCCCAGGGTGGTCAAGT